GGGGGGGGGGGGGGGGGTGGGGGGAGGGAGCGGGGGAGAGAGAACTCAAGGAGCAAGCCCGTTGATATGTCAGGTCCAACTCCGAAAGACCATCAACGGTACATAACTCGTACCAAAATAACAGAAAAACGGCACTGAGGAGGCGCGGAAACGTGGTTTATGATTCGAACTGGAGGTACTTGTCATATGAAACGTGCTGTTTGGTGTTGACTGTTCACACTTCTCGCCAAAGCTCCAAACAAGCGATCACACGTCCGAACTTGACAAGTTACGTGTGGATCAGAGAGACAAAGTGGCCATCCTGTGCAGCCCATAGTACCCTGAAATTCAATATGTGAGTTTGTTCAAGCAATAAAAACGTTGTCACACATGCGTAGACTTCAGCTCATTGGCAACCAGCCCCCCAAGTCAAAAACAAATTGAGAACGTATGGGCGCGCACCCGTGTACGTGACAAGTAGACCGTTGGCCACGCAGATATCCGAGGTGCCGAATGCGCAGCAAAACAGCTCCGATAACTAATCGCAGGTGATGCCTGCATCACTGCCAGCAGAGCACCCCTCGGGTAGCACCGCCGGAATGCATCCGGAGCACTCCGATTCGTTCATGCAGGCCGCCAGCTCGTCCGTGCACACTAGGCCGTCCTCGGGTCCAATAGCCCACGGCAACTCGATCGAGGAATCGGCAGCGCCGTCGACATCGTTGTTGATTTCGTCCCCGTCGCTGACAAGTGTCGGGCACACTGCGTCGATAGCGCAGTCGTTCCCTTCCGCCAGGCACTCTGTGACTCACCACGGTGCGTTGCGCAGCATGACGTTGTGGAAGCACGATGACGCAAACACGGATGTGTGTTGCACACATGTCACCAAACGGCATGGAACGTGGAAGACGTAACGAGAAGCAAGAGAATATGCCGTGAGCATGTGTGCCTCATTGAAAAGATAAACCTAGGCATACGCAATCGTCAATGCGATGTAGTCGACCGCCTTCATCGGCATAGATATAGCTCTCACACCCAATTATAGCCCAGACCCAAGGCACTCACGAAGATGGTTGAGAAGAAGCTCATTCTCCTGGCAAGCGTCCGAGTTCCCGTACATGCAGCAGGTCATCACCCACCACTCTGCACAGGTCGTTGCGATAGGGGCGCAGGCTGTCGGCAGCGCCTCAATGGTCAAACACTCCAAGCAGTCAGCGTCTGCCTTGCACCCGTTCGTTGCGGCGGCGCACTCCTCTGCCCCTTTCGCGAATGGCACCGCACTCGCGAGAAGTCCACATATTGCAAGAAGGGAGAACCGAAGTCTCCAGATAGCAGGGGCGGATTCGGTAGTGGGCTGCTTGGCTGAGATCGGGGGCACCGTGCTTGACATCCCTGAACGGCGAAAGAAGAAGAAGTGGAACGCACATCCATGCAGTCATCTGCGCGCAAGCAAGATTGGGCCACCACTGTATATCGTACCGTACAGCGGTGCACGGCGAATGTTACCGTCGTAGCGTGGCTCACCGAGGTTGGACGCCCGCGCACAGTGGCGATTCCCTTTTGTAGTGATTGCTATTATTTGGCCTGCACAATAATGCAAGAAGAATTACTGTATGCCAAAGTTGACAAACATGCGCAGTGAGTCAAACCCCTAAGGCTCTCGCCAGGTACTCCGACCAATCAATCTGAGAAATGAGGGCGGAAAAAATTGTAAAAATGGTCCTACAAATCGATGGTCACCTTCTGGGGGTCTGGCTCACAATGAATCACTTTTCTGGTGTTCAGGAAAACGTACAGAATGTCGGTGTTTTGCCGGTCGGAGGCGGCCCGAAAATATGTGAGACACAAAATGCAGATAGAAAATTAGGCAACTTGCGGATGTGAGGGACATGCTGCCGAATTGCCTTTCACTTGCGCGACTTGAGCCCTCATACGGCTGTCATCCCCGCTCTCTAGACCCGCTTGCGGTCGACATGGCGTCGACACGTGCCGCTTCGCAGTGCTGGGAAGTGGCCATACCTAAAGAAATCGAGAACAGTGCAGCACTCTACTTGGAGGTACAAACTACCGGGTAATTACTGTAGTCCAGAGTTAGTTACGCAATTTCCAAAAAGCCGATAATGACGTGTTTGCGCAGAACAAATTTGGCTCGTAACGACCAGTTCGGGGTATTCAAAGTTCCTGCGAAGTGAGTTCAGCCCAAATATGCCGCGAGATTTTGCCATTTAGAAACATTTGAAAGCATCATTTGCAAGGGCTGCGAACAGACAACGACCACCTCGAACGGATACCCTGAGCATCTGTATCCCCGCACATCCGCACATACATCCGGGCCAGCTATCGAAAACAGCAGAAGCCGAGCCTATACGACCTGCACCGTGGGTATGCAGTTATGCGCCATGTGCTTCTACATCGATAGCGGGTTGTGTTGTTGCGTGGGTCCAAGCATACCACCAGCTGCTCGCTGAGAGATCGACAGAGCGGAGATTATGCAGCTTGCTGCACACACACGACCCATATCACACACAGCAGTACATGCACATAGGCATACATGCCGACCGTCACACAGCCGGGAACTGACGGTCGTGCCCTTGGACAAGCAGATCGAGAGAGACCTCTAAGGGCTTGAGGGCACTTCTGTGCGTTCTCGCAGGGAGCGGTTGCACGGAACGGTTCAGGTTTTGCTTACTGCGCCTCTGCTGCCGGCCTGCATTTGTTGCGTCTTGCTTGCCACAAATGCATATGGCACGCAACTTGCGTGGTTGCATTATCATTATGGTAAGACTGTTCACTCCGTGTCGGGGAAGTTCGGCAGGCTTAATATCATTGTCTGTGGCGGGTTTTGATGTGGGCCGGCCGCACCTATCTGTCCCGCTATATCTACGCTGTGCTGGTTGATGTTTTGTGCCGGGCGATGTGCTCGTCGTGCTCGATACGATAAAAAGCACAACATTCGATGCTTCCTGCCGATGTGCGTGTCCGCGTCCGTCCGCAATGTTGATTCTACCTGCGGACGGTGGAAAGACTTCATATTTTTGTAAAATTGACCAGCATCAACAGGAGCAAATTTTGCGTCTTGCGCAAACACGTCAACGAGTACATACCCCGTAGCACCTCCTCCTGCTGCTGCTCCTGCTGGTGGTACAAGAACGACTGGCGCGTGAACTTTCTTTCGTACCTCATTGGGACAGAAGCGAGGAATACATTTGTCTGGGGTACTTTGGGTACAAGTTCCGATCTGGAGAGTGTATATATATGTGTGTGGGGGGTATGCTATTGGGGGTCCAAGTGCGGGGCCCCTCGAAAGTGTGCACGCACATGTGTTCACTGTATAAATACAAGTGCTTTTTTGTTATGCTGGAAGGAGCACGGGTGTGTGATCAAGGTTCATGTCATCTGCATCGGTAGTACTACCGTATATGACACAAGATAACACACCTACATAAGAAAGCACACACCCCACAGAATAAGACACCCCGGTGATAGTTTTGGGCGCTTCTGACAAACCATCGATTTATCACCTAGGGTACATAAGATAACGCACCCCGGTGATATTTTTAGTTACGCCGCATATAGTCACGGGGCCCCTCCTTCTTTATCACCGGGGTGACAGCAGCTGCCCTGGGCAATCACACACACAACCACGTCAGCAGTGTGCGGGGAAACACCCCGCATGGAGACCCCCAACAACATGAACGTGCAGGCAGAGCAGAATGCAGCCGTAAGTACCAAGTAAACGTTTTTGTGAGGGGGGCAGGAAGGATGGCGCACGCAGTCTGTGGCCACCGCCAATCATCGTATGGTCGAGGTACCTTCGATTTTTAATTTTTTTCTTGCTCGATTCAAGCCCGTATTTTGTTTCAAACTTTTCTTGGCGATGAGAGGGTTGAGTTATCGCCGAGGTCATGTGCTCAGGAGTTTCGTCACCTCGGTTGAGCCCCTTTGTTTTTCCACGCCCCTTTAGGTAGGTCCCTACACTGCACGTGTATGTGCAGGCATGGCTATCACACCCCCTTTGATCGCACCCCCTCATTTATCACACCCCAAAGCACACGCTGTGGCTGTTCGGACGTGCTATCACACCCCCTTTTATCACACCCCCGAACACACGCTGTGGCTGTTCGGACGCGCTATCACACCCCCTTTTATCACACACCCTCATTTATCACACCCCCAAACACACGCTGTGGCTGTTCGGACGCGCTATCACACCCCCTGTTTTATCACACACCCTTAGGGCCCCCTGCGAGCTGCACTTTATCACCCGGGGTACACAAGATAACACACCCCCCACAGGATACCACACCCGGTGATAATATTTTCAAACTCCAAAATGTTATCACCGGGGTGTGTTTCTTGTGTCATATACGGTAGTCTCAAGTCCCCAGATCTACTCATACCACCGTGGGTGGGCACGGCAGCCTCCGTGGGAAGGCACGGGGGCCAGAAAGACGATAGGGCTACAGACAAAATACGGTAGTGGAGTTACCGACCTGTCTATGTGTAGTGCAATTAGTCTATTGCGTAGCCGCCTTGGGAATGCCTCCAGTTTGCCCTGCTGAAAATCCCTAAACGAAGATTCGAAGCCTCCTGTGTTGGGGTGGGAGTGAGCCCGTTGTTGTGTGTCAAGGCCACAACGTTAGAAGAAGGTGCTCATGTCACTGCTGTGGTGCTGCAAATGCAGTCGATAATTGTGCCGAAATGCGAAACATGGGATCAGACCTCTCCGCCATCCAGCTATGTCGATGCTGTACGGTAGACTACTGCTGTACAGCCGATAGACGCTGTGGCCGCACCTTTTGTGAAGAGATGATGACGTACGCATAACTCACGTTAACTTTTTCGGACCTCCCACGGTACATATTGTGAAGGGATATACGTAGGGATCCGAAGTACCTGATTCAGCCTGCGCCCGACTTCCAGGTGCTCTTGTATTTGTGGCCCCCCTCTCCGCTTTGCAGTGCTTTCCCAGTTCGAGTACCCGATACTCTAACAACGTGTACGTACGTGGAAGGTATGGTCAAGATGCAGAGCAACCTACCTTGTAGCTTGTCGCGGTCTGTCTCTCACCCGCCCTGGCTCTCCCAGAACATATATATGCGTATGTGTGCTTGTGTGGATGCATCTCTCCCGTTCGCATCAACGCAATCACTTGAGAGGGCGCGAGACGGACGCCGGATGTCACGAGCGGCGTAACCTCCCTCACTTGTATTCCGAACCGGCACCAAATCCCCCGCTGTGGGTGCTGAGTGCGGAGCTGGATCGCCTTTTGGGGACACTTTTTGTCCCCATCTTCTTCACCTGCTTTACCTCGCGAAGAATGGCATGATTGTCTCCTCCTTTGCACTACTCGACCAGGGGGGTGCCGGGGTACACACAGGGACGACTCTAGTCTAGTATGAACGCTTTGTAGAGAGTGGAGGAGTATGAGGGTAAAGAGTAAAGAACAGGTCGAATTGCGGGGCGATTGCGCCGCGGGTTCAACAGCGAAGTTGCGCCGCGTCTGTCTACCCTTGGGTGGAAAGCGCTACTAGGGGCAAGCGCAGAAGAAGTACCTAGCCCACCGTTGAAAGAAGGCACCGAGCAACCTAGGGCTTGAGTTAGAAGGTCTCGCTTTCCCTCTAGAGAAATATCTTGAAAACCTCCTTTTCGTGCCCCCTTTACCACGCTCCCGCCAGTTGCTGTCCATAATCCCTATCAAATGTCCCCTGGTAACGAGGGGACATTTGATGGGGATTATAGACAAGAGACGGCTCAAGTGGGAAGGCAGCTTTGCACTTGCAACCAGGGATGGAACTGTTGTTGTTGTTGTTGTTGTTGTTGTTGTTGTTGTCTTCACATTAAAAACCGTTCCGATCTCTCTCTACCCAGTACCTTCGTATGTCCGTACTGATCCAACACTCGACGCGGTCGATTCCCGTGGTCACAGGTTAACTTACCCTAAAAAGGTACACTCAAATAAACTGGCCCCGAGGGGTCCGCAAGTCAATAGAAATCAACGACAGAACTGTCTGCACCATCCAATCAGCAGGCGTCGTTCGCTATTTTTCTTACATTTCAGAAATTTCGCAAGAACGCCGAATTTTCTGTGCGTGGTAAGGGGGTGTGGGCATAATAAAAAGTGCGGAGTGCGCGAGTGCTCGATGCTCATACGCTCATGTGCTCTTCAACTCCCAAGAGAGCCGCGACCTTCTCAGCCTCACACCGCCGGTATAGACAACACGCAACCCTTGCGCGCGCACAAGATACACGCACGTTGCCCATCGTCCTCGAAAAGCTGCCACACAGCAAACAACGCACCCCGCGCACAACTATTTGTCCAGCAAGTTGAAAAGAGACAAGCGACGTACTCCTGTGAAGGCAGAATATTACAACACACGACACAACGGAGGGTTTCTCCCCGATATTTTTGTCGTTGACCCCATAGGTAGAGAACAATACGGGGGAGATGTCTTGAGGTATTTGTACCTGTACAGTGATTTTGTGGTTAACACCTGCTGGCATCACTGATCGAAAAAAATTCAGTATATAGACTCCAAATAAGACCAGTACTCAGCCGGCTTCCCTCCATTCAATGTGAAGACTTCAACACATCCCGTTCGACTGTGGTCTTATCTCGAATGGGTAGTCTTTCTGTGTTTGTATTTCTGTTTCCTACTAATTGTTCATAGCCCTCACTCCTGTAAAAAAGCTCGAGTTTCCTCCGGTCTTGACCGAGGCATGGGGGTCCTTGGTTCATCTCGTGGGCTTAAATGGCCACTGGGTAGTGTAGGTTCTTAACCGGGCTCACAAGTGATGTTGAACATGGTAATGTAAGTGCTTTTGAGCAGCCCCTACCGCCGCCCTGTGCGAGAATCAACGATATCTGTTTTTCGCGAGGCCTCACTGATCTGTCTGTTGTGCATTTTCTGGTCTTGCGTTTGTTTTCAAAATCGAAATTCGTTGTCTGCCACCCCTTAACTGCCAGTTCTCAAGTACGGGGCACTATCTGTACCAATGATTTTCCATTGGTCGCCCGGGCTGCTTCCCCCGGAGCGGTCGAGTTTGTTGCAACATCCACACGGCTTCAGCAGCAGCATGGCCACAACACGGATGACCAAGCAACCAAGCACACAGGTCCTACAGCAGCAGAGACCACCACCACTCTGCAAACCTGCAGTACGTAGCATACAGGAAGACGCCGCGGAGCCTCTCGAGACCAACAACTGCTGCTTCTTGGCCGCCGAATATGCATGTATGTTCTGCCCCTTCCGTGAAGCCACACGCCAGATCGATCGCCAAAGCACATCTCCCATCTCCACGTGTTGGGCAACCTAACCCCGGCACCAACAGTAGTGTTGAATTGGAAAAAATCGCTTACTTACGTGCACATGAGTAACAAACAAGATTGAAATTGAAGGTTTTAGCCAACAGCAATAGTGCCTAGCGCTACACGACCGCTTGTAGAAGCAACCGGAGAAGATGGGAGAAACATACAGGGTATGCGCCCAACCCATACACCGGTACCGACAAAAGAATGCTGTGCGTATTTAGCTGTACGTTATCGCAGCGTTGGCAGTCCAACAGCACGCTCAGTACGCGCCCTCGTTGCAGCAGCCTACCTGTAACAACCAAGCAATCCCAACATGCTGGCGGGGTGACTTGCCACGTTCTTGCGCCACGTTGGGGGCAATCAAAGAGCAAGGCTTAGAATGATGACGGAGAAACTGCTGGCCACGCTCACGACGAAAGACACACAAAGGCCTTGAGCACATCATCATTTTATCAATAGTCTACATCCTACCGCAACATCCGAAAAACCAGTGACGTTTTTGGCCCATAATATCCTATTGGCACAGCAGTGCAGCAGTGTTTGGCGGAGACCCCAAGCCGTTTGGGAAGCTTAAGCTTGCGCTTTCTAAAGCGCAAACCCAGAATGTTCACGCTCAAAGCCACTCTCACAGCACCGCACGGGTATAAACACACACATTAGAAAAGACGCACGCATGTACAAGAGAGCAGAACAATTAATTGCGGACAACACACACAATGAAACACCACACAGACCTTCCTTCTCCCAGTCAGAACGTACCACGCTGCTAAGACGAACACATTTGTAACACACGCTATAACGGAACACGTACCATGTCAACAACACTTTTCGAAGACGGCGAAGATGCGCCATGTATGGCCGCCGGCTTGGAAGTCGCATGCGGTTTTTGGGGCAAGAAAGCGTCATCACGTCCGCCCTATCCCTCGGGGCAATCAATCGCTCGTTGTTTCATCTGGCGACACCAACAAAACACCCTCCCGTCCGATCGACCGAGCACGAATTATGGTCATCATCGCAGCGCGGCGGTTCGTCACACACCAGAACGAAGAAAAATTCCCGAAAATACAAAAAAAAAAAAAAGTGCAAAACGCCACTACAGCAGTTGCGAGTGCGAGGGATATGCCGCATCTCCCACTCGCATACCTGCTCTTCACTGCTACTATACTCAACCCGACGACTACCTGCGGCAAAAACACGCACCGCACTCATCAAGCTTGCGGAAACCGCACCGGACTACGCCAACACGGATAGCCTCCTTCCAACCCCCGTTCGCAACACACAGACAAAACACACAAGACTCACATAAACCCCGTGACCATTTAACGCAAAAAAAAACACACGCACACACACACAAAAAAAAAAGAAAACCACACGCATAACACACATCACCTTTGGGCGGCCATTTTTCGAGACGAAAGCGCTCACCCCATATAACCCCAGCTACTCCTTGCGCCTTCGTAATGAAGTCCACGCCAAAATAAAACGAGATGACTTGAGAGCCAGGACCGTCTGCAACCGATCTGTCGGCGAGCGGAGTCTTCGGGTTTCCGCCTGTCCTCTAAGCCCGGCCGAACAACCTACCGCGCTTTTCTTCAACTGAAACCCGAAGAGAGGCGAAGCCTTCCGACGCTTTTCTCTTGCCCTTCATTTCCGAGAGCTATCTTAAGCTGCCGAAAGCCCCTGCAATGCTCCCCTCATCAAGCTTCGAAAAAAACGAGTCGCCGTGAGCACCAGCAGCGTCTCTCCCCCGTATCACAGTCAACCCTCGGCGCGTTCCCCACGCCCGTGATCTTCTCCGGAGATCGCACACAGGCGAGGTATCTAGCATTGCGCAGCAGCTCCACCCCTATCGATACATCGGCGTCGCTGCCGAGTGCCTCCTACAAATAGAAGCCGGAATCAAACCATTAAGACTAGATTTTCAGGCTTGATATCTAGCATTGCGCAGTAGCTCCACCCCTTTTGATCGGCGGCGCGGCCGTGCCTCGTACTAATCAAACCAATACAGACCGGACTAGTCTTTCTCGGCTCCTAACAAATGACAACTCACCTCCCGGGGGTCTTAAAAAATCGTCGACATGAGGGCGCGACAACTCTTCGCGACGCGACTCACGCGAACTAGCCTTGAAACAGCTGCAGCAGCTCAAGAGGCTTCAGTGGCGCAACAACGCCGGCGCTGTAAAACGTTTGTGTGTGTGTGCTGAGTACCGAACCCGAACCACCGCATGGGTGTCACTTTGTAAAGAAGAACTAGTAGTACCCGCGGGTGAGCACGGGGTTAAGCAGGAAGGGTCCCAGGAAGTGGGTCGCGACGTAGAACGAGAGGGGGAACGACAGGCGTTGGTCCGTCCACTCCTGGCCCGTCCAGATCATCCCGAATACGTACACACCTGGTGTGATATCGCCGGCACACGACAACAAAAAAACACAACAACATGAGAGGGCACCAGCGCGGACAACGTCGCCCAAACGGGTTTCGAAAAACATGGGGTGCCGCCAGTGGTGTGGTGGGAGGGGATTGGGGATGGTTCTTCCGTGAACGAGCAGATGATTCGGTCCACGCGGCAAAAATATATACCGATACTTTCGCACAGGCATCTAAGTAGTAGTCGTGTGCGGTACCGCAGGGTGGGAACGACCGGGAGGCCCTCTTCCCCGACGAAGTGATTGCGAAAGGGAGGACCCAAGCACGCGTGCCAAGCGCCTCCTCACCGAACAGCAGGGTCAGGCAGATGTACATCCCCCGGTACCGCTCGAGGGTCTCCTTGAACTCCACCCAGAAGGTTGAGCGCGTGCTCTCCTTCGCCGTTGCCCCCCACACGATGTCCAGGTCCCAGAAGTAGCACCAGCAGGCCGTCGTGATGTGCCAGAGGATGTGCGACCAGAACATGGTCATGGCCGGAGCGTTCCTTAGCTCTATCCAGTACGCCTGCGGCCGCGGGGGAATGCAAGGGGAGGGATCATGATCACAAACGCAAGACTCGGATGGAACGTTGAGAGTCCGTTCGCCTTGCGACGAGGGCGGGGTGGACAACTACAGGGCGCCATGAGATAACGATGCTTCTGGGGACTGGAACAAGGAAGCTCGAGTATCTCTACAACGGGGGGGGGAGGGGGGTGGAGTCGTGTTCCTGTTAGCAAGAGCGGTCGCCTGTCACGCATATGGTATACAGCAAACGTACAACAAAAAAACATAAAATGTGGAGTATGTACTACCACGGGAGGGATGCTTGTTTTTCGGCCCGAACAGCAGTAGGCTCATGCACGCAGGATATCCGCGGG